CGCGGCGGGCGTTCGGGACGTAAAGTTGGGGCTTGATAGGGCCCTTACAGGAGCACCGTCCCCGGGGAAACCGCTATGCAGCGCCTGCCCAGGGTCGCGGAATTCTATCCTGCCAGGAGTATTGATCCTAGTCGTCTTGGGGATTTATCGTGCCAACTGCCTTTAAGGCACACAGCGAGGTAGCATTGCAGTTCCTCAAGTGATTCCCACTCCGCACATAAGGGGGATGGTATTTAGAGCCATGTTGGCGCCAAATGGCCTAGGCGCCAATTATAAAGGTCAGAACCGTGATCAGGGCCATTAATAACCCCTATATACAGAGTTTCAGCGGAATTTTTTTTCCTCGAGCTGTTCGAGTTATGATGATAGGTCTTGTTGAAGCGGTGGCTGTCAGTGTCCTGTAGAAGTAGTTATCCAATTCGATACCTGGACTTTTCTATTTACTAGTAGACACTAGTAATGAGCAACTATAATTTTCAAAAAAAGACAGATATATGTATCGCACACCATTTAGGCCTAAAAAATCAAAGCGGAACAGTTCCGCTGCGCGCGCTGATGGGGTGCCACTGCCTGCCAAGTGGTCGGTCAATTATCACCAAGACCTCCAAAAAATTTTTCTGCTGAGAGTTTGTAAACAGGGGTAACTGATGGCTCCAATCACGATTCTGACACTTATTTTATGCGTCAAGACCGTTTGGTGCCAGCGTTTGGTGCCACCTTTTCGAGATCCCATCGCAATATCCACTCCGCCATCTGTCGACGGCGAAACAACTGTTCCAGGAATCGTTGAAGTAACTTCGGCACTAATTCTCTCCATGTCATGGTACTAACTTTCATTTTGAGCTTATTTTGCTCTCTTCCCGATGCATGCTTAAGGAACACCTCATAAACTATGCATGCTCGAAATTACAGCTGGAACAGATCCCATAAGATGGTTAAAATCGCCCTTTCTTGTCAAATTTTTTCACTCATTTTTTGGCATTCCCATAAACGCATAGCAAAAACGAAACCCATTTTTGTGATCCTTATATGGACCCCTACAACATGCAACAAACCATTTCTAAAAAGCGCGCCACGACCTGAAAGACCTCCCTTGTAAGAGTTGATATCATGCCAGTCCGGTGGGACGGTTTCAGGAGGTGTAGAATGAGATAATTACCGCGCTTTCTAGCAATTGTGGACCGTTCTGGTGGAAAACAACCAGTGGTTGAAAACGCCGCGGGTAGGCTGACAACTATTGCCGTATTCTGAGGATGTCAGCCGCATATGCTTTGAAAGCAGTTTCCTATTTTGGAAAACCTCGAGACTCCAAAATCTCTGGGCTAAAAAACCTGCCAATCGTTTGTCTGCGTCATACGATTATGAGTTTATCTCCGCGCCTAGAAGAAGTATGCCAAGCCACCCAGTAAACTGTATTTTCAACAATTCCCCCGAGCTTACAGTATCCACCCTAGTACTGCACTTGAAATCACGAAACGTGCTCTCTGAAAAAGACAAATCGTAATTATTTGTTGACTTGCGATCGCTAAGTGTGGACAGAAAAAGGGAAGCGTGTCTGAAAACTAAAAGTACTGTAAAACAAATACACGAGAGAATCACGGAAAGGAATGTTAAGTAAAAAGGGCTGCGTTACAGCCGCACAGTAGGCAGTAGAGCTCACAAGTCATATCCTCAATTCAGAAACACACCTTTGATGCTGATGCTGTGAACCTGGGAAAGTTGAAAGAAGTGGAAGTACTCATCGAAGGAGATGAGGTGAGTAAAGCTCTTCCTCATTTGCTCAGCCGTTTTCGCAGAAG